AAAAATTAAAAAGGTAAAAATTTCTTTTTTTTTTTTTATTTAAAGATAATATTGCAACTTTTTGAAGTGTTTTTTAGATGAAAAACAAAATTCAAAGATATTTTTTTTATTAATTTAAGGTATTTTTAAAGTTTTATTATTATTATTATTTGATGAGACATGAAAGAAAGATGTATTTTAATCCATCATATTTATTTGATTAACAAAATAAAAAAAGGGAAGAAAACTGTAACCACGAGGACAAAATTTACTCAAGTTTGTCTAACAAACGCATTTTAAAATTGTGAAGTTGATGTCGATACGTAACGAACCAAAGTCATATTTGTAGGTGTTTGAACTGTTACAAATTGTACTAGAGCCACGAGATTGGCCAAACTTGTCTCTTAAAAGTGTAGGCCAAAATTCAATCTAGACTCGAACCTAATAAACTTAAAACACTATGAGCCAAGTCATTGGGCCAACTGTGGATTGAATCAAAATTTGGACTGAATTGAGCCAGTCAACACATACTTTGATAGCATGGGCTAACCTTAGATGATCAAATAGTTGAGTTGGAATAAATTGAATTAATTAAAATTTGAATTAACAGAGCTTGAATTGAGTCCGAATTAATTTTGATAAACTATTAGACTATAGATTCGTTAACGGGAGTGAGTTACCCTAGTCCCATTAAAAATATAATAATAATAAAACTTAGAACAACAAATTACATCACCTTATAAACAACAATGAATTACATTAATTTTATGTCGGCCTAAGACTAAAGGTCATTTTACAAAGTTTTTATTTTAAGAAAATTTAATTTTTAATTAATTTCAGAAATTCTAAAGTAACTATCATTAAGGAAATGAAAAAAAAAAAAAAAAAGAAATATTAAAGTAACAGATCCCATCAGATTCTGATGGGATTCGAATCCTACCTTCGGCATTATTGAAATAATAATAATAATATTATTATTATTCCTAAAATGCTGTTTTTTTTTTTTTAATATTTTTAAATTTTGGAAAAAGTGCGCGCGGCGTCCTTTGTTTCCCTGCATACCACATTTCGATTGTTTTCTTCCTCAGTTTTCTCGTCGGAGAGGCCTCTCTCGGCTACCGTCCATGGCGTCGAAACGGATCCTGAAGGAGCTCAATGATCTCCAGAAAGATCCTTCTACTTCCTGCAGCGGTGGTTTAGTATTCTTTCTACTCTTGTTCCTTTTTACTATCTCTATATTTTTTTTTTAACTTTCTAATATTGGTCTAGTGATTACGTTTTTCATCGGTTATTGGAGACTCCGAGCAACTTCATTGTTGTTATTTTATTTGGAAATTAAGTGGATCGAAATGTTTGTTTGTGGATTGCGTGAAAAAGTAACAACTCTGAAATTCAATTATCATATTTTGTAATTATCTAAGTAGGCGGAGGTCTACGAAAGTCGATTTTGGAGTTCTTAGCACTAACTTGCATTCTCAATTTAGGGAATGATGTTGGAGGAAAGTTTTCCATCCCCTAGGGATGATCATGGATTTTTATTGAGGAATACTATCTTCATTGATATGAAATTTTTTTGGGGAAGCACAAATCAAAGCCATGAGAGCTTATGTTCAAAGTAGAATATCATACCAGGAGAGTCGTGTTCATCTAACATGGTATCAGAGCCATACCCTAAACTTAGCTATGTCAATAGAATCTTCAAATGTCGAACAAAAGTATTGTGAGCCTTGAAGGCATTGTAAAAAATGACTAAGACTCCAAAAGAAAAAGTAGTCGAGCCTCGATTAATGGGAGGCGTACTTTGTTTGAGGGGAGGTGTTGGATGAAAGTCTCCCATATTGGCTAATTTAGGGAATGATCACGGGTTTATAATCAAGGAATACTATCTCTGTTGGTATGAGGTCTTTTGGGAAGTTCAAAGCAAAGCCATGAGAACTTATGCTCAAAGTGGAAAATATCATACCATTATGGAGAGTCGTGTTCATGTTATAATGTTATAATTAGCTGATTATGCGAATGTCTAGAAAATCGGTTTTGGAGTTCTTAGCATTGACTTGCATTCTCAATTTTGTGGTTTACGCGTAGGATATGGTTTAATTTGGCTCTTCTCTAAACAATTCATCGTATTCCGGAATGGAATTCGGTAATATGGAAACTGAATCGTGTATTAGAGTTTGATTTATTTGTATATGTTAAGCTTATTGAAGCAAGGTTCTATTGAGTCGAAAACTATAGATACCGGTGCATTTTGGCTTATGGATCTTTTTGACTTTAGTTCTCTATACTATAAAGAATTGATTCTATGAATTTTCACGTTTTAAATCATAGTTGTTTTTTAATTGAGCTAGACTCAGAACAGTATAACAGCTTAAGATTTGAGTAGTCAACACTTTCAATTCACTTGGACTTCGTAAATTTCTATAGCCCGTTACCATATGTGGTTCTTGTTTTATTAATTATTCTAATGCCTGTAATATATGTGTTTGTCACTGTTTTTATTACTTATTTGATTAATAACTCAGTAAGTCAGTGCTAGAAGTTATTTTCACACTTCCTGAGCTAAACAGTTCAGTTATGACCACCTAAAGGCCATAAAGTGTTTGACTGGGAAAATAGTATAACATTTGGTATCCAAAAATTATATTTTTTGGTAGATGTATTGACCATCTAAAGGCCACATTTTACGCATCCAAAAAAGCTCATATTTTAATACTTAAGGTATAAACCACACATCACATTGGATGTTATTGATAATTTTCTGCACATTTTTCATGTAAATTGTTTTAGATGTTATCGTTGTCAAATAGGCTTACTGCCTATTTTACCATAGTAGCACTATCTTTAACTAAATGTGAAAACTAGATTTGGGGAAAATAAGTGTAGTGACTTGATTAAGGTGAAAATTTAACTTAACCAGAGATATGTCTTCTTAGGTTCTTTGACACCCATTGGTGGATGGAGCTCCCTTGTTCTTGATTTTGGAATGCTATAGTGTAAATCTTGGGAGTTTATCTCTTAATTTCAGGAATTTTATAATATTTCAATTTCCAGGTAGCTTTCGACTGGGCAGCAAATATTTTATTCTCGTGTGGGGAGGTTATCCATTTAAAAGAACGACCGACTATCAAGGTCACTTCAGGGGTAGATGGGGTTTTTAATGCAATGTTGAGATCGTATTTCTTATGTTGTTTCTTCTAGGAATGGTTTTGATTGGGTTGTGTGCTAATTGGAGACTGTTTTTGCATCCGTCATTGGCTATCGTGGGGGATGGAGTCTTTTCTTTCTCTTCTCTTCTGTTTTCCTTCTTCCTTGATAAATTTTTTAGTTTTGTGAGATTGTATGATTATTGCTATGTATCATTTATTATGTCACGGGAGTCCTTACCTACAACTTTTTACGTTGCTTCAGTTTATCATTTGTCTAGGTTGCTTTCAGGACAAAGGTTTTTCACCCAAACATTAACAGTAACGGTAGTATTTGCTTGGACATCTTGAAGGAGCAATGGAGTCCAGCTTTGACTATATCAAGGGTTTTGACTTCTCAATGACAATTTTAACATTCAACTCCTAGATGTTTGAATTTTATATATGTGCCTCTTTTACACGATGGCTTTGGTTCAAATTCTTTGAGTTGCCTGTTGATCAACATTTACAATTTTATTGCTTAACTAGGGAATCAAGGCACTAAGATGATATGCATAAAGAGAAAAAAAAAAAAAACCCATTATGTTGATATAATTTCGTTCATGGTACTCAGTCATACTGATGTAGTAATGTGATGGCAATTATACTTTAGTGTTCAACCCTCTGAACAGTTGTCACATTTCATGTCATCTTTATTTTATGACAATATTTCTCTAATTATAGTAATAGTCATCAATCCAAATTATAGTGAAGCCATCAGGACATAAAAAATTTAAATCCAAGAACGTGTTATGTGAAAACACTGCTAAGCAAACAACTTAGACCAACTGCTGAGAAAGTATTATTGCAACCATATATGGAGCATATAAAATGCACACATGTTGCTCTTGGGTGACAGCATGATATCCTGGTTAGATTTCATTTTTATGAAATTTTTACTGTAAACTTATGAGGGTTACTTATCATTTGAGTAGTGCAATGGGTATCAAGGGGTCACTGGCCAATGTTGACACAGGGACACCATGGTGTGTTTTCTGAGAAAGTCTATTGTCCTCCGCCAAAAATCCAGCCATTTTCTAATGATATATAGTGTAATGCAACTTATTCTAGAATATTGAATCGTTGTCTGCTCTTCAGCATCTTTGGCTAACATTATTGAGAATACATAGTGATTGTCAATCATTTTCTGCATATCCATTTCACTTTTTTCCTAGCTTCGATTAATTATTCAGTTTTTAAATGGTTGGGAAGGGTTTCTGTTTCATATTCAGGTGTTACTTTCTACTTGCTCCCTTTCGACAGATGCCAACCCAGATGATCTACTAGAGCCAGAAATTTCTCATCTATACAAGACCGATAGGGCCAAGAATGAGACAACTACAAGGAGCTGGACTAAAAAAATATGCGATGGGCTCGTTTGTATTATGGGAAGGGTACGAGGGATGTCACTGTTGGTTCTCATGTATAAATGAAAAGTTTCTGTACTATATACTATTATGAGTGATCTAAATAATTCTATGTCGTTCAATTTAAAATCAACATGATGCTTTAAGTTCATATTCGACTAATACATATCAATTATATGGATTTGATTTCGTACAGCTCCATGACCTGTGGATCTTAATCCTAGATTTCAAGCCAGTGAAGAAACTATCTCGCATCATGGCTTCTTATGGATGATGGAGGATAAAGGCGGAAAATGGGCCAGAGCGCCGAGCTGCTCCAATTGTATTTCCACCCCCACTTGAATTCTGAGGGTATGTGATCTTTCCCATCGTCTAAAGTTTGTCCATTCATTGTGTCAACTGCCTTTCATTTCTTGCTTGGATCTAGACATTTTTCTTTAGAAATTGAGAAACTATTTGTACTATTTTTGCTGCAAACGAAGAGGATAATACTAGTGGGGTGGGCTGGAGAGCAGGGATCTACATAACCGAGACCTTAGTCAACAATAAAACACTAGGAAAGCTTCATAACTCTTTCCCACTGAAAAGCAGACAGTACTTGGATCTAGATTTTTATGGTAAGGAAAACCCATATGTTCTTGGATATCGGACTTCTTTTTTTGCACAGAACTTCGATCTAGATTTAAGTTGAGCTTAATATAGCTCTAGATAATAGTAGTTTTAAGCACAACTCGGTTGACTAATAAAAAATCGAATGGAGTTTCGATTGTTCCAAAATTCTTGTGATGCTTATCCTCAGCCAATTCAAATGGAAATCAAAACTGAAAGAAAACGTCTCGACATTGTGTTGTGGTAGTGGACAAATTTGGATGAAATGTCTGCTTCTTCCACCTTCCATTCCCAAGTCAATTTATTATAATCTCTCTCTTTCTATATCAATAGAAATAGATTAAGGGCTGCAATTTGGTTGACATAGAAAGTGGGACAATTCCTACATCCTATTCCCAATAAGAATGAAATTATTAAATGTTGTGTTGTCCTTTGGTATGCTCAAGTTGGTTTTGCCATCTCTTCAACTTATCTTCGAACGTAGGTGGACATGAACTTCACCTCAGATTTCCCTTTCGGACAATAATTGTCCGAAACTATTCATCTTCTTGAAAACTTAAATTCTAAGGCACATAATATCCATCACCCTGCCAATTCTGCCAACAACAGGGTTATTACGTGCTCTGTTGGTTTGGTTTAAGTTCCCTTGGACCATTACCCAACACGGGGGCTAGCATAGGTCTATTAGTAGTTAAATCACTAATCAATCAAAAAGTTTAGTAGATGGATTATTATAAATTTAATCCTATCAACATTTTAATTGTTAAGAGTATGTTATCCATCCATAGAGTATAAGGTCAAATTCTCCAACCCAAAGTACTAGAACAAAGTATAATTTGTCCCAACTTCGAGATTAAAAGAAGTCAAGAGCCTAATCATTTGATTTGATTTTCTTTTCTTTTCTTTTCTTTTTTTATAGACGGCCTAAAAAATTGTGCCAAAATGAAATTCAACATGGAAACCTTATGTCAATGTCTAAGAAATATTATTTTTATTTCATCTCTAGTTTTCTTCCCCTCTCACTTTACCTCTTCTCCCTTCATTTTAATGGGCTTTTCGACAGAGCAACAACCTCATTTAGCTATGACATTTTTGATTGCTTCGTCTAAGGTTGCCATTAAAGATGAAGATGAAAAAGAAGAGTAGAGACTTTCTATATCATATGGATCAAACTTCCAAAAATTCTCTAGTAACAAATTTGCATACGCTCTTGTCTCTCATTCTTGTTAGTCTCTCTCGTTCTTGTTGGTCTCCTCACCGTCTTTGGACCTAAGTGATATTAACAAAAGGTTATACTTTTCAATTTTAGAAATTGAGTCATAACCAAAAAAAAAAAAAAAAGAAAAAAAAATTAAATTAGTTGTGGGCAGTGCTCTGAATCTGATCAGGTGTTTGGATCTTGTCTACAGCTTCATTAAATCCAAAAAAAAATGGAAAATCACGTGAAGAAAATGAATATTTGTGATAACATCTAATGAGAATGAAAGTTCCTTTAATGTCTTGGCCTCACATTCTTGACCCAAACCAAATAATGTCTACTAATTATCTGTTTATATAGGAGAAAAAAAAAAAAAGAAAAACATATCGAAACCACTACTGTCTGATCAAATACGCGGCGACTCTTAATCTTTCAAATTTATACTTAATTAATAATCCTTATTACTTTTTAAAAATTCCTCGCAAAAAGAAAAAGGACAGACCTCTCCTATAAAACCGGCCCTCTTGCTTTCCACTACTCTGCTCAGACACTGAACCTTCTCTTCTTTTCATAAGCTTAGAGAGCCATCAAATTTGAGTCTCCATTAATGGGTCGAGTTTGTTCCGGCGGAATTAGGTTCAGAGAAATTCGAACCACCACCCACAAACCGGCGACGGAGACCAAATTGGTTCGAATTTCGTTCACCGACGGCGACGCCACCGATTCCTCGAGTGGGGAAGACGAAGAGACAATCTCCATCCGCCACGTCAAACGCCATGTGACTGAGATCAGGCTTCTCACTCGTAGTTCCAAAAAATCGCCGCTGAAATCGGGAGCTGATCCGCTGCGTAACTCGAAGTGTCATAGAAAGTTCCGGGGAGTTAGGCGACGGCCGTGGGGGAAATGGGCTGCCGAAATCAGAGACCCTTTCCGGCGGACTAGAGTTTGGCTTGGAACCTACGACACGCCGGAGGAAGCTGCCGTCGTGTACGACCAAGCCGCCGTCCGCCTTAAAGGCCCCAACGCTCTAACAAATTTCGCCGAAGCTCCCAATTCCAAAAGTACCGTTGCCACACATTTCACTCCGCCGCCGCTGGCTGTGGCGATTTCCGATAGAGAAGAATCTCGGAGTCTGTGCTCTCCGACTTCCGTTTTGAGATTAGAAGAACAAATTTGGAGACCCATTGAGCATGTAAGCGAAGAGTCAGCATTAGAAATGGAATTAAATTGGTTATATGATCGGAATTCCAACAGTTTGTTGTTCAATTCAAGAAGCCCACAGCCCATAAATTCCGACGAAATGGAAGATTTCGGCGACATTCCGATGGATTTCGAATCATGCAAATGGGACGTAGAGAATTATTTTCAAGATCCAACCTTTAGTATTTCACTCACTCACTGACAGACTGACAAATTCGCTATCTTTTTTATTTTATTTTATTTATTTTGTTATTATTAAAATTTAAAATTTGGTTCCCTTTAAATTTGTATTCTAACATATGTTTTATTTATGAGCTTTTTATTTTTTTTTGGAGTGAAGCTGTATTGTATGGAAATAGAATAGTGAAGGTTAAACTTTATGTAATCAACTTTTTCTAAATTTGATATATATTTCAATAAATGTGGCTAAGTTCATACCTCTATTTGAGTGTCTAAATACTTTATTCTCTTTCATTTTTGCCTTTTGAATTTTGACTAACAAATTTAATAGTGTATTTGAATTTTGAAACATAAAATAAAGAAATTAAGTTCAATTTGATTATCATAATTTAGTTAAACCCTATCAATCATTTATATACACGCCATTGCTATATTTTCTATTTAAATATCTAGGTTAATTTATCGTATTAATATCTGCTAGCGGTGAGTTTAGACCGTTATAAATAGTATCAAAGTTAGACATCGGGTGATGTGCCAAAGAAGAGGTTAAATCTCGAAGGAGGTAGATTGGGAGTCCCACATCGATTGGATAAGGGAACGAGTGCCAGCAAAGATGTTGGGCCACGAAAGGGATAGATTGTGAAATCCCACATTAGTTGGAGAGGGGAACGAAACATTCTTTCTAGGGGTGTGAAAACTTATCTCTAATAGACTTGTATTAAAACTGTGAGGCTGACAACGATACTTAACGGGTCAAAACAGACAATATCTACATGTGAGTTTGGGCTGTTACAGAAGTAGAAAATAGTTCAATAATGATTTGAACCGACTGGAATCGTCAAATTAGAAATTAAGATGAAATCGATAGATTTAAAACCAATTTTAATGAAGAAAATGGGACTCACCAAATTTGAGTTATGGAATCAAGCATGAAATCGTTACCCGATGCAAGTTGTAGGCAAGCTTTCGACCCTCTAAATTTCAATGCAATGCACATCTATCATGGTTAGGTTTTGAAATAAATGTTATATTGTTGGAAAATAATTTAGCCCTCTAACAGAAGACAACTTGTACGAGGTTTCTTGTGGTCCCACATTTTATTTATTATTATTTTTTTTAATTCATATTTGCACCAATTTTGAAGTCCAATTACTCACTACTATTCATTTGGTTGGTTATTTTATAAATGGTTGAATATTCTATTCAGTTTCGTTGTCTTGTTATTCGTCAGCTAGATATGCTCGTATACTCCTACCTACGAAAGGCCCAAATGTCAAATGTTAGTGTTCGAGGGCATAATTTGGAACGTCAACTAGAAAATGTGCTTGTGTACTAGTTCTCGAAGATGAAGTATCGATGAATTTCTTATATGCTTAGCACAATAAATACTCCCGTTGAATAAAACTCATGGTCTTGAATAACACCTATCTAGAGATCTTGCTTTCGAGCCTTCAGCTAAGTTTATTGAGAGACGATTGATGTTTCAAACATCTAGCTTTTTGTGACAAGCGTGGACTTAAAAAAAGAAGTTAAGATCTAATGAGTTGGATTTGACCTTTGATCGAAGTACACCGAAACTTAGGTGAGCTCGCTTAGCTTGTAGTAGTCAATGCACGTGATAACCATTCATTAAAACTTGGTAGGTTTTATTGGATTCCTCCAAGTTCAAAGAAGAGAAAAAACAACAAATCGAATAGGAATTTAATTCCTTTAGTTTTTACAATTCTGGGTAGTTTAGGTTTTTTCGAACTCAGTTTCTTTGCAATTTTATGTAATTTAGGTTGCATGGTTAAAATCATTCGAGCTTAAGATGATCGATCTTGCTTGTGGAGTGATTCAAATCTCAATCAAAAGTTCTTATCGTGTAATATTTGATCGACAAAGTCATTCAAATCCTACCTCGGCAGAAAAAACCATTCCTTGGTGGATCGACACATCGCAGCACTGATTCTTGTGCGGGGATTGTTCTGTCCTTCCCAACACCTTTTACAGCCTATCTCTCAGTCTCACTGTCCTTTAAAGCCTCTCAAATCACTCCCAATATTAACTCAACAACACCAATAAGTTGAAGGACTAATAACTAATATCAAACAACCACCACTACTTTAGTATGCATTCGTCTCTTTAGATCGAAGATTCAAATTTTCATGTCCGTCTTTGAGAGGATAATATTTAACTAATTATTAACCACCATGGATTAGTCTGATCAAGAATTAAAAGTTTAACTATTTATAATTTTAATATCCTACCATTCTGACAGTTTTTTTACAAAATTAGTCGAACTGTGAATGTTTGATTAATCTACCACTCATAAATGGTGTGAAAGTTATCTTATTTATAATCAAATGAATTACAAGGATATGGAAATAGTAATAAATGAAAATAACAATAAATGGAAAGATACCTATGATAATAAGGCAAATATTTATATTTGCCTTATAATAAAATATCAAATATAATATATATGGTAAACTATAATTTATTACTAAATATCTTTAACACGAATAATGACAGTTTTCTTATATATATAATTTTAGAATAATTTATAAAAGGTTAATAATTATTATGTTTGTTTAAATATTATTCTTTTTTATTTATTTATATTAGAGGATGAAAACAAAAAAAATAAGATAATAGTTTATTTTAAATTAATTTCGGAGGGTACCATAATATCTAACGTTAATATACCTACTTTAATTATATGCTATTTATAAAGTACAAAAAGGTGTTTGTGTAACGGGCATATTTAATTGATCTTTTTTTTTAATGGTCAAATCAGTTTATTTATTAAATGGCCAATTACTAAATTTAGAGAGCATTGTACAAAACTACCCCTAATGTCAAATATAGTATCTAGAGATAATATCAAATAATAAAACGGAATTTCTCAAGAATTAAACTAATAAATAAATAAATCTCAAGGATTAAAAAAAAAAAAAACATCTTAATGACAACTTAAAAAAGAAAAAAAATCAAAAATTAGGGCAAATCATAAGTCACACAAATACACAAATACTTTGTATTGGCACAGAGAATCTATTGAAAATATATTTATTTTTATGTATTTTTTTCTTTAGATAATTTTGGTTTTCGTTCTTTTCACACTTGATTTCATCTTTACTATCATCTTAATATAGAACAATCGTTGTGTCGTAAAAAAATATTTGAATACATCAAAATTAAGATCGTTGATGAGTGAAATCATCACACGATTAAATGAACCATAATGAAGGCAACTTGATTCATCCAATCGTTTCTAGGAACCACAAATGAAAGCATAAAATTGAAACTAATTCAACAAGTTTATAAACAATTCAATAAATCTTTAGGTAGTTTTATACCTTTGACATGAAAAGATAATAAGTAAACTAAATTAACGAACTCAAAAAGATTTAATTTTTGAATTAAAAATAGATACTAAATTTATGTGTATATGTTATCAAAATTAATAATTAAACATTTATGTACTTAAATATAAAAGATTAAGATATAATAAAATAATAGATAAATATGTTAACTTTTTATTCGAGCAAATATTACTAATATTGTAAATGAAAATTGGTTGGAGCACCACAATTTCACACAATAGTTTATATCACTGTAGAAGAGAGAGCCCAATTCGTGTGCCTCTTCGATTTCATTCTGATCTAAATGCCTCAATTTTCTTTCTCGTTCATCGAAATTCGTATACCCATCTTCCCATCAATCTCGGGCCTCCGAGAAAGATGAAGATATGGTGGGGTTGAAGCCAAATTTACGACATGCTCAATTTTGAGCATAAGCTCTTATGACTTTACTTTTGGTTTTTCCAAAATGCCTCAGAGATATATTCCTTACTTATAAAAGCCACGAGCATCCACTTAATTAGCCAATGTGAGGCTCCCTCCCAATAATCCTCCCCTCAAACAAAATATACCATAGAGTTTCCTCCCAGGCCCCTATGTAACTCTCAAACAGCTTCCTCTTAATCAAGATTTGACTCCTTTCTCTAAAATCCTCAAACAAAATACACTTTTTGTTTGACACTGAAGTCACTTTTGACTACACCTTTAAGGCTACCAACTTCTTTGTTCGACACTTGATGATTCAATTAACATGTTTAAGTTAAAGGCACGACTCTGGTACTATGTTAGAAACTACGACCTCCATAATAATATGATATTATCTACTTTGAGTATAAGCTCTCAGTGACTTTGTTTTTTTGTTGCCCAAAAAGTCATTCCCTTAGTTAGCCAATGTGAGACTCCCTCCTAAAAATCCTCAACAACTTCACCATTCTAATACTCTCCGATGCCGCCCTTTCGGAGGCTCCGCCCTTTCGGCGGCTGGAGCCTCCGTTCTTTCTGCCATCCTCGTTAATTCATCCCTTCGACATTTCGTCTTTGTGAAGTGTTTGCTTTCCCTTAACTCTCAAGCTTGAAACTCAGCCTAACATATATAATTAAAACCGTTCACATCATGTGGTTGAGGTCTGAGATGATGGCTAGGAATGTTTCTATGGCCTGACATCTCGACCCTAGTTCGTTCACTTAATTCTTAGTTTAAAAGAATCTAGAACAAATTTTCTTCCCTCATCAAAATAAAACGTTTTATTTGGTTGTTAGCTGGTGTTTCTTTTGCAGAGAACAAATGGCTAGGAATGTTCCTTTTGCAGAGAGATCTTGAAAGGGCATTTGGGATGAATACGAGAACAACTCCGGCAGAAATTTGGAGGTAAGTAGTAGCAATCTTAGTACCAGGGTTTCCATTACCATTATCATTACTAGTTATTCTTGGAGTTGAACACGAGTTTCATTATGCTTAGACACAATGTGTTTGATTTTTTATCAAAATTTCATACACTGAAACCGTTTACTTTGAGACAGGGATGGAGAATTGAAAGGGATGTCTACAGGAATTGATCCCTCCATCGGGATAGTCTTATCTTTCTACGAAGTTGTCAGACACCCACACAGAAGACTCCATGACTAATCCCTTTGTAAGCTCAACTAATCTCCTTTCCACAGCCACAGATTCTCTTGGCCGGAGATATTTGGATGCCTAGAGGACAACTTATATGGAAGAGACCTCTAATCTCTGATCTATTTTCTTTGTTCTTCGGTTAGATGAACACGACTCTTCACCAGGGTATGTTATTGTCCCCAAAAGACCTCATACCAATGGAGAGAGTATTATTTGATTATAAACTCATGATTATTTCCTAAATTAGCCGATGTGGGACTTTCATCCAACACCTCTCCTCGAACAAAGTACTGTCTCCCCTTAATCGAGGCTTAGACTCATTTTCTTTTGGAGCCCTTTTTTCGACATTAGAGGATTCTATTGACATACTAAGTTTAGGGCATGACTCTGATACTATGTTAGATGAATACGACTCTCCACAATGGTATGATATTGTCCACTTTGAGCATAAACTCTCATGGCTTTGTTTTGGGCTTCTTCAAAAGGCCTCGTACCAATGGAGAGAGTATTCGTTGATTATAAACTCATGATCATTCCCTAAATTAGCCAAGTGGGACTTTCATCCAACAAATCCAATCCCAATCTTTCCTTACATTGTTCAAGATACTCCTAAATATGAAAATGGAAAAGTGGAGGCAATATATCCTATGCTATCCAAGATCCCTAACATTAGAAGAAAATAATGGTGGCTTCCAACTCTCTACTCTTACCTCTAACATCAATCAAACAAGTTGCAGACATGGAAAGCTTTGTAAAATGGATCCAATGAATAAATTATGATAACAAAATTGAAAGTAATGGATTAAACAATCAATAAATAAAAGAATGGATCAAAATCTGGCAAACTCAACATGAAAATTCCTCTTCAACCCTACATTTATCACAACGAGAGCAAGAAAGTTGGCCTTACTTCATGATTTATCCACTAACCGCATCTTCAAAAATCCGAAAAACAGCGCCAACATTGCTACAATCCTAGAACTCAATTCAGAAAAAATTGGTAGGAAGATGCATCGAGAGGATGGATGAGATATGTGAGAACCAACGCCATCAGCATCAACACGTACGCAATCCCCTGGTCTATGGAGGTCCCTGATTTTACACAAAATTGTCAACAAATCACTTCCAAATAAAAAATTTGAAAAGACCTACATTCATCATCATCATCATCATCAATCAACAAAAAGGACAAAGCAGACACAAAAGCTGATGGAGTTTAGAAATCAGATGCGTAGATTACCGTCGCTAGCGGGAGCGGGAGCGGGAGCAGAAGCCGAAGAGTGCGCGTGAACGAGTGGCAATAGAATGAAGAAGATGAGAGCGAAGCATGTGAAGAAGCCAGAGAAGGCCGTAGGAGTAGAATCGGAGGACGACGCCATTGTTGCTGTCCCTCTCCAAAGAAACAAATCTGTGGAAGAAATGATGAAGAAGAGAGAGAAAGAGAGAGATCGGAGGATAATGTGGGGATTTTGTTTTATAGAAACAAAGAACAGAGAAGAAACCGGCCATGGCTACTCTGCGTGGGCTCCACATTTTTTATATTTTATTTTTAAAATTTTTAACTATATAATTTATTTTTTGTTTTAAAAAAAAATTACAATTTAGCAAATTTTGAGCGATATAATAAACTAAAGATTATTAATTACAATTTAAAATAGATAAAATTCTAATTACATTACTAATACTTATTACCATTTAAATTAGGTTGAGGTTGCATTATAATTTGTTATTGTTAGACCTTAAAATTTAAAAATGATTTTAAATTCAAAATTAAATTTTATAAAAAAATATTAAATAATTTGTTTTCGTTAATTTTGAATGGGTTCTTAAATTCTTATATGACAATGACACTCTAATAAAGAAGTACATGAATGAATTGAAGTCACATTCGAATGAGAGTGATTCTATAAATAGGATCGCTAAGAAATGGCTAAAAAAATTTGAAATATAATCTATACCAACAATGTAGAAAGGTCAAGAATATTATTTAAACCAAAAAATTGTAGGCTAAATTAATAAAAATATCTCTAAATTTGTTTTATTATTTCAAAAATATTCTTAAATTAAAAAATACTATTTAACTTATAATATTTTATTTAAAAAAATATCATTCCTTAATTAAAATTTAAAATATTTCATAATTCCTTTTCTATCTATATTTTATAAATAATTTCCAAACTTTTTAAAGTTTTTGAAGTTTAAGAGTATTTGTGTTTACTTTTTAAAGTTAATTGGTATTTTTTAATACGTTATTTTATATTTTTTAATTTTAAAAAATGTTTAAAAGATATTAAAAAAAACTTTTACAAGTTGAAATAAATAAGTGTATTATTGAAATTTAAGAGTTAAAAATGTTTTTTTCTTTTACAAAATTTAAATTTCACATTTATTTAGTGTTTATATATATATATACATAATTAAAAGAGTTTAAAAAAAACAGTTAAAAAGAATACACTAATTATAAGAGCCGCTGCACTCGAAGCTATGGCCATCGAAATTCGCGGCAAAAAAACTCCACCGTTCTTCAACCTCTTGCCAATTCTGGACAACATTCTTCTCTTTTTCCCTCTTAATTCTCTATTCTTTCTTCATTTTTATCCGTTCCAATTCCATTTCCATTCTCAATACCTCATTTCTGATCCTTTCGATCTCAAGAACACACCCCCCGCCCCCCACTTTCCAATGGATTCCCTCAAATCTCGCCGGGTTTCCACTTTCTAGTGGAAAAATCTTTCCCCTCCCTCACTCAACTTCCTCTCGCACTTTTGATTCTCCTCGGTTTCCTTTCACCTGAATCCTGGTTTTCAATCGGTTTCTTTTTCAACGGATTTCTAGGTTTGGTTTTGATCGAGCCGATTGATTTCCCCTAAAACAACAATAATCTTAACCTATGTTGCTGTTGGGTTCTTCAATGGAGCAATTCCGGCAGCTCGGAGAGGCCTTGGGAAGTGTAAAGGCCATCATGCTATTCAAAGATAGCATTCAAATAAATCAGCGGCAGTGCTGTTTTTTGCTCGATGTTTTGAGTTTTGCGTACGATTCAATAGCGGAGGAGATGAACCAGAATCTTCGATTCGAAGAACGGCACACTAGATGGAAGGTTTTGGACCAGCCATTACGAGACCTAAACAGAGTATTCAAAGAAGCCGAAGGGTTCATTAGACAGTGTTTGGAAGCGAAAGATTGGTGGGTAAAAGCCCTAGTGCAATATCAAAACAACGATTGCATCGAATTTCATGTTCATAATTTGTTATACAGCATTACTGTTGTCGTTGAAGCCATTGAAACAGCCGGCGAGAATTCCGGTTTCGATCATGATGATATGATGAAGAAGCGGCTAATCAACTCCTTCAAATACAGGAAAGAACACAAGGATTCAAAGATTTTCAGATGGAAATTTGGGAAACAATATTTGATTACTCAGGAATTCTGCAATCGAATCGATACGGTTTGGAATGAAGATCGATGGTTTCTACTCAATAGGATCCGGGAGAAGAAACTCACTGCTTCTTCCAGGTATGAACAACGATTAACTGATCATCTTCTTAAAAACTTAGATGGATCTGAGTGTTTGATAGGAAAATTGCTGCCAAGCTCTATGTTAGTAGGATCAAGGGATTACCAGGTTAGGAGAAGATTAGGGGGTGGTAGTCAATACAAAGAGATTCTATGGTTAGGGGAAAGCTTCGCTATGAGGCACTTTTTTGGGGAAATTGAAGCCTTAATTCCTGAGATATCTATACTGTTATCACTTTCTCATCCAAACATCACGAGATTTCTTTGTGGGTTTACTGATGAGGAAAAGAAGGAGTGTTTCTTGATAATGGAGCTTATGAGTAGAGATTTATCAAGCTATGTAAAGGAGATCTGTGGGTATCGTAAGAGAATTCCATTTCCTCTCCCTGTAGCTCTGGATTTGATGCTTCAAATCGCAAGAGGAATGGAATATCTCCACTCAAACAAGATCTTCCATGGGGATTTGAATCCTTACAACATTCTGGTTAAGCCAAGAGCTTGTTCTACAGATGGGTATGTGCATGCTCAGGTGTCTGGGTTTGGGCTACCTGTTGTGAAGTTCAAGAACTCTTCAAATCAGAATGAATCCCTACCGTTCATATGGTATGCTCCAGAAGTTTTGGAAGAACAGGATCAGTCAGGAAGTACACCGAGTTGTAAATATAGTGAGAAATCTGATGTTTACAGCTTTGGGATGGTTTGTTTTGAGCTTCTGACGGGGAAAGTCCCTTTTGAGGATAGCCATCTTCAAGGGGATAAAATGAGTCGAAACATTAGAGCAGGGGAGAGGCCACTTTTTCCACATAGTATGCCAAAATATGTGACAAACTTGACGAAGAGATGCTGGCATACGGACCCGAATCAAAGGCCGGGGTTCTCGTCGATATGTAGAATTCTTCGGTTTGTAAAGCGATTTGTTGCGATGCATCCTGATTATAGTAGTCAGACCGATCCGGCTACGCCGGCAGTGGATTACTGTGACATTGAGTCATGTTTGTTGAGGAAGTTGTCATGTTGGGGATCATCAGCAATAGTAGATATCCCATTTCAGATGTTTGTTTTCAGAATCGTTGAAAAAGAGAAAACTGGTAGCAGCAGCGTTGTTAAAGATACCTCAGAATCAGGAAGTGATGGCGCCTCAGCTTGTGGGGATGAAACGGCATCCTCTACGGATGAGCCTTTCCCAACGCTGGTTGAAAAAAGATTGCCAGTTTCACGTGAAAGCACCAACAGGAGGCTTTCATTGTCAAAGAACAGTTCTGATGTTAAGTTCAACAAGCTACCAGGTTCATCTCCTTATTTCTCATGCTTGCTTCAATTATTACTTGAACTGTGAACTGCACAGACCAAACAATGAAACAAAACATCCTTTTGTTGTTAGTCTATTGAGAATTGGAGAGATCCCACGTCGGTTGGGGAGGAGAACGAAACATTCTTTATAAGGATATGGAAATCTCTCCCTAACAAACGCATTTTAAAATCCTTGAGAGAAGCCCAGAAGAGAGCTCAAAAAGACAATATTTGTTAGCGGTGAGCTTTGGCTGTTACAAAGATATCAGAGTCTGACACCGGGTGATGTACCAACGAGGAGGCTGAGCCTCGAAGGGGTGGATTGTGAAATCTCACATCGGATGGGGAGGAGAACAAAACACTCTTTATAAGGTGATTGTGAGATCTCACATCAGTCGAAGAGGAGAACAAAACATTATTGTGTGGAAACCTCTCCTGCTAGCGGTGGGTTTGGGCTATTACAAATATTATCAGAGTCAGACACCGGACGATGTGCCAGCGAGGAGGCTGAGCCTCCAAGAGGGGTGGATTGTGAGATCCCACCTCGATTGGGGAGGAGAATGAAGGGGGTGGAAACTTCTCCCTAGCAGACGTGTTTTAAAAACTTTGAGGGGAAGCCCAGAAGGAAAAGCCTAAGGAGGACAATATCGGCTAACGGTGGGCCTGGGTTGTTACAAATGGTATTAGAGTTGAACACCGAATGATGTGCCAGGAGGAGGTTGAGCCCCAAAGGGGGTGGACTGTGAGATCCCACATCGGTTGAAGAGGAGAACGAAGTGTCTCTTCTAAGGGTGTGGAATCCTCTCCCTAGTATCTTCCTAGCAAACACGTTTTAAAAACCTTATAGGGGAAGTCCTTAGTTGGGGAGGAGAACGAAGCATTCTTTATACGGATGTGAAAACCTCTCCCTAGTAGACGCATTTTAAAAACCTTGAGAGAAGCCTAAATGGAAAAACTCAAAAAAAAACTTTATCCGCGGACGGTGGGCTTGGGTCATTACATATTATCTATATGATCTTCATGAATGAATGAAAAAACTGAAACTGATACTGATACTAACTGATGGTTGATGGCTCCATCCCATAGGTACACCGCAAGGACGATTTTCAAGGCCGCCACAAATCAGTCCTCGAGGGCGTAGCATGAGAATGAATTCTGAAAGCCAGCTTATAGCAATGACTCCAAAGGTTAGAAGATTATCTGGCCACGCCTCAGATTCTGAGCTACCCTAAAAGCCAAGGAACGAGTATCGACGTAGATGGTTACACTCTCATGATTTACGCATCGACATGCTCATGAACGTTCCCGGAACAATGGGCGTCACAGACAAGTTTTTCTTCTTCTTCTTCCCTAGAAGGGTGGGTGGAAAAGGCCATGGCACTGTGTTTGGAGCTGTGTTTTGAAGATGAGAATGATCCAACATATTTTGTATATAATAGGAATTATGGGTCTTAGAGAGCAATCAGAGGAAGTGGGGAATAATGGATCAAACAATATAATCTCTTTCAGAGTTTTGGTGTTCATCTTAAATTCTAAGTGCAGCTCATGTACATGTAAATGAAAGCAACAACCCAGCGTGTTGCGAGGAGGTTCCCTACCTGCCCTGCTGCACACCCCATCGGAAGAGGACGAAGGGGGAGAGGTCAAGAATTCATGTAAATGGAATCGATGCTTCAAATTTTTTACTAAAACCAGATTTCATATCAGATGTATTGCTTTGATGCTGGTTATAACATTGGGAATGAGAATTTAATTTCGTGTCCGCACTCTTTTGGAAATTGTAAAGCGGTTGTACAGCACTTATTTTCGAGTAAGTGAGCCGACTGAACCTGGATCGTCATTGACACAGACAACCTATGCTTAAGCCTATGATTCATGTCCCGGAGTTCAATATTGACTGAACCTTTCAATATTGATTGAACCTGATGACTAAACTTGTAAAAAGTAAAACCTAGCAAAACTAAGGTAACAGCCATCACTGAATTTAACTAAGGACCATCGTTAAGGTATAAAGGGTCGTAGCAAACGATTTTATTCCAATCTAATGATAGGGTATGATTGAATGTATTGAAAGTTTATGCATACATTTAAATAAAGTATTGTGAGATCCCAACATCAGTTGGAAAGTGTAATGAAACACTCTTTATAAGAGAGTGGAAAACTCTTCTTATTAGTAGATGCATTTTAAAACCGTGAGACAGACGATGATACATAACGGGCTAAAGTGGGCAATATCTGCTAGCAATGGGCTTGAACTGTTACAAATGGTATCAGAGCTAGACATTGGCAGTGTGCCAACGAGAACGCTAGCTCCTTAGGCGACGAATTGTGAGATCTCACATTGGTTGGAGGGGAAAACGAAACACTCCTAATAAGGATGTGGAAACTTCTCCCTAGTAAACATATTTTAAAACCATAAAACGTAATGTACCAAAACGGACGTAGGGACAAAACTAGTATAATGTTTATAGTTAATAGTTATTTAAAATAAAGTAGTACTGGAACATTTTCTGTAACTTAGCCTATTTTTTATAAATAAATTTGTTAGCTTTTTTTAAAAAAAATTTATATATAAATTGAAAGGGTATAATGGTGAAATCGTTCTTTTCTTTTTATTTTTTTAAATATAAAAAAATGGTTAAATTACCAACTTAATTTTTAATTTAAAGGTTAATATTTATTTAATTCTTACAATTTTTTTTTTTTAAATTTTCAAAAATTTCAATAATATTTTAAATTTCAAAAAAATTTAAAAAATATTCCCACACTATATTTTTTAATATGTATAAAAATATATCCATGTTATCTTTATAAAAAAAAAAATATTAATTTTAAATTTAAGAGTATTATTGAAACAATATTTTTATTAATTTAATTTTATTATTATGATTTTTTACACGACTTATTATCATATACTGAAATGATTTAAAAACCAATCCCTTCTAAAAAAGAAACAGAAAAAAGTAAAAATTAGTTTCATCATCATTTAATTTATTTTTATTCCTTTGAAAAAAAGTCAAAAAAAAGTCAAAGGGGATCAGGTTTTAGCACTAACTATATTTAACTCCAAATTAAAGCACAAAATTAACGTTAAACCTTAATTTGCTAACTAATTAGTCCAAAAAAGAAACCCCATTAAAGCAATCGGAAAGCTTGAAATGAAAGAATCGTGAAGGGTTGACTTTGCCGTCCCGATCTTTCCACAATTCTTCAAGCTTCCCAAATTCAAGTCAGTTTCTTTTCGTTGACTTTTGTTTCTATATAACATAACCCTTTTGTTTATAAAAACATGTTCTTTTAAACCTTCATCTTTCGTGTTCATATCCATATCCATCTCTAACATGTTTTTTTTTTCTTTCTTTCTTTCTTTTCCTAAATTTATGTTATCGCTTAAAATATTTGGTTTTGTTTGATTATCAAACTCGTAAATAACTTAAATGTAGATATGTTAATTAACCTGTAGAGCCGGGATCTAGTCGGGACCCACTCCAAACGAGAACGGAGATAAGAATTATATTCTTTGCCCCTATCTACATTCCCGAGTCTGCACAATCCCTATCTTGCCTCACTTTATATATGAATAGATGTATGCATATTATTTATTTTATATATATAAAGTATGAATGATTATATTGTAGTATTGAAATTTGAGTACGTAGACCCTATATTATATTTTTGCTTATAAAATATTATTGGATTTATTAGTATGTTTTATATATTTTTTTAATAGAAAGTATCCATTTAAAAAATATTTAAAATGAATATTTTTAAAAATGAAAATAAATGAAAATTTGCAAAGATTAAAATAGGAGGCAGACAGTCAAATTTGTCATATCTACCAAAATATTGTAAATTTAATTGAATCAATGTTATATTCTAACAAAAAAAAAAAATGTTAAATATTGTAGGTAAAAAATGATGGAAGAGACAAGATCAAATGAATCAGATATCAAAGAAGAACAAGAAATGAGAGACGGTAGTAAAGAAGAAGCTAGTCAAAACATGGGATTGGAGTCGGATTCAAGTTCGTCATATCTACCGGAGATGAACCTTGTTTTTGTGCTTCTTTCGTTGCTTTCTCGTGAACAGTCAAATGGTGAAGAGGGTGAACTCACGAAAGCAAAAGAGGTTGAAGCCATTACAACTTACAATATAGCTCGATTGAGTGTAAAAAAGAAAGACATGATCAAAGCCAAGCCAGAACGACGACGAGTAGCTCAAAGGATCCATACAACGATAAAGGATTACAGGTAATTTTATCCTCTTTTTTACCATTCCTTAGTTTCCCTTTGAAAAATAGAAAATTACCTCTTAAGTAAATTGTTGATTTTACGTTGTATGTAGGCATGGCAGAAAAATGTGAAGAGGACAGTAATATTGTGAATGTTTGATTAATCCACCACACCACCTAAATGGTGTGAAAGTTATCTTATTTATAATCAAATGAATTACAAGGATATGGAAATAGTAATAAATGGAAATAACAATAAATGGAAAGATACCTATAATAATAAGGCAAATATTTATTTGCCTTATAATAAAATATCAAATATAGTATATTTGGTAAACTATAATTTATTACTAAATATCCTTAACACCCCACCGCAAGCTAAGCGTCGGATTTAAACGAACGTGAAGCTTGAATCTGAAAAATTCAAAGAGGTTGAGAAACACTTTTCATGAAGATGCTAACAACTCGGTTCTTGGCCATCAAAAATTGCAGAGGGATCGCCGCTCAGCGGCGATGCTGCCTTGGCTTCGGCGAGAATATGTCTAACCCATGAAGAGAGATTGTCGCTTAGCGACGATGCTGCCTTGGCTCTGGTGAGAATATTTCTAACCCCAAGAAGTAGAAGGGGAAACCTAGAGCAAGGGACAAAGACAATGTTGAAGCCGGAAGAGTCGCCACATTGGGCGAAGGAGCCAATTTTGGCGAGAAGGGCAGTCGGAAGAGTCGCCACATTGGGCGAAGGAGCCAATTTTGGCAGGAAGGGCGGCGGCAACTTGGTTGGCGAATAGGCCAGTGCGGCACCTAGATTCCGAAGGTAAATCTCTGCAAAAGGTTGATAGGTTTAGGTTAGGGTTTATGTGAAGGATGAAGTGTTGATTGGGAAGAAAATGAGAGAGACTATATTGGTCAAGGGGAAAACCGATTAAGTTAGAAAAGGTGAAGTTGTATGTACAGAGTATGACGAAAGGTGATTTGGAGGTCAATAGGGTGGAGCCGAAGAGTAATCAATCGGCTCCGACTCCGGCAGCCATGAAGACTGCCCCTGCGGTGTCAAAACCAGCAGGGGTGGTGGAGAAGAAGATTAGAGGATTCAAAAGCTATTGAAAAGAAAGAATCAGGTCGTTAAACCGAAAGGGCTTTGATACCATGTGAATGTTTGATTAATCCACCACACCACCTAAATGGTGTGAAAATTATCTTATTTATAATCAAATGAATTACAAGGATATGAAAATAGTAATAAATGGAAATAACAATAAATGGAAAGATACCTATAATAATAAGGCAAATATTTATTTGCCTTATAATAAAATATCAAATATAGTATATTTGGTAAACTATAATTTATTACTAAATATCCTTAACAAATATTATATGTTTCTACTAATAATGTGTACATAACTACTTGTTTCTATTAAGTTTTGGTATTGTCACCATGTAAAGATGATGCTCAATAGCGTAGGGAGGGCTAATTTGATTGTACAAGTATGCAAAGTTCAACTAGGAATATCACTTATAAACAAATATGTTCATTCATATTCTCACTCTCTAAAACTTGGAATTTTAGTGAAGATTGTTGGTCTGATGATGATGGTGACGATGGTGCTTCTTGAAATTTTAGTAAAGATCGTTGGTTAATGATGGTGCTTGTGAGATCCCACATCGATCGGAAGAGGAGAACAAGTGCCAACAAAGACGTCGGACTTCGAAGGAGGGAGGATTGTGAGATCCACGTGGAGACGAAGTATTTTTTATAAAGGTGTGAAAATCTCTCCATTTTAAAAAATGTTGAGAGAAAGCCCGAGAGAGAAAGCAATATTTGTTAGATGTGTTTTTTCTATATTCTTCTTTACTTGTGAAGAAAAGATTTAGTTGCCCGTCATTTTCATACAAGTCTTCTTTAATTACTTTAAAGAGTATGCAAAGTAAATGAAAGTTTTAAATTAATCGAAAAGTTGAATATCTTATATAATTTGTTAATAGAATTGTCAACAAAATAAAACCTACAATGTTTTGTCGTCAATTCAAGACCAAAAAAAATGTTTAAGATTCAACATTAAGCATCTCATGGCTATTTCATGATAGATCCAATACTTGTGTTAGTAACTTACGGGCCATGATTAATTATTTTAAGGTTTGAATTCCCCCTTACGTTACAAAGTCCAATTCCCACAGTCATCGTAACTAATGAAAAAAAAAAAAAAAAAGAGAGAGAAAGCCCTTTAAACATATCAACCAAATAGCTAAACACATCATTTTTCTCATACATCAATTGAAGATGCCAGTTAGCATTATCTTCTTCGGGTAAAATTAGTTGCTCGATATCCAACCCGAATTTCAAAAGCTTGTTTCATATCTATGGATGTGAGTATGACAAAATCAACACTGCAATTCAAACACAAAGGAGGTTAAGAGGTTTGCAATTTAACCTTAATATTTGAACCTCTAATTTCATCAAAGTAAAGGAATAAAGAAGACACCATGAATATAGAACACCGGAAATATAAAAGAACATCACGGATTTGAAAACT